AGGGCCGATGCCGATTCGGAGTCGCGGAGAACCTAACGGGTTACCGGGGCTCCGGCTCGACGTGCAGGAGAAGGAACGGGGTGGTTTTTGGTCAGTAAGAGTCTGACACTCCCTCCCGCCTCACCCAGGCGGGGGCAGTCATTCGATGACTTTCCCCCCTTAAAAAAAACCATCTCAAAACTCATCCTAAATTAAGTTATTTTTATACAATGGCCGATATAAATAACCGATCTAAATCCGAAACCAAAAAAAATCCGCAGATTACCACCGTAACAGGAAAAACAACGGAAATGTTATAGGTAAGGTTAGACCTACTTAAATTATGCAATAGGTATGCAGATGCTATCGAGTCAACAACCCAGAAAATACCTACGACTCATACCGAAATGGAAAAATTCGCGGTCGCATCGTATCGCTGCATTCGAGATAATTTGCGAAGTCTAAAGTTCTAAACTAACATATTACGTCGTTGTCAAATTGTATTTATTATTCAAACAAGCATATTATTTACTTTGCAATTCACATCTTCCATTCCGGTTTAATGTATTCTTCTAAAAATGTAATCTGTTTGCAATTTGGCCATCGTTATCAGAAACCAACTTGATGTTATTATTTTCATATTGTAAATTTTTACAAAACGTCAAGGGCTGACTGAACATAAACATCCCCTAATTACTTCCAGAAAGCCTCCTAACTCCTGCGTACTTTTAGTTCCTCTGCCGAAAATTCTAGTATGATCTACAAACTGTTACTCTGGGCCTAGCTGTGTTGTGTGAAAAGTTCCGTTTTAACCTATTTACCTAACTTTATTTAAAATTATAAATTATTTTTCATTGTATGCTAAATATCGTCTGCACAGTACATACTGCACGGCATTTTTGCATATTTACATAAGTAATTATATAACGTTAATATCGTACGTGCCTCGTTGGCCGAGTGGTAAAGTATTACTGGGTTTTTAAAAAATTCTCTGTAGTAGCACGGAGTCTGGAATTGTGCCCGGTATATGGCAATAGGCACACCTCCTATTACATGGGACTCATAACATAAATAGTGAAAAGTGGGTTTTACATAGTACAGTGGCATTAAGTGCCGTAATGAGCACCTCTGGCAGAGGTCCTCTGCCTACCCCTTCGGGGATAAAAGGCGTGATATTGTGTTATATTTTATGTTTAATATCGTACGTAAAAATTTGGCACTAAATCCTGAGACGTATTTACCTAGGTATTTTAATGTAATTACCTGCCTCAAAATGGACATCATTTTTACTTTTACTAGGTACAATAAGTCCCATAGTACCAATTGTGTGCGATATACCCAACTGCAAAACTTTGGAAGCAAAACCAAACTTTATTAGGTACTACTAAAAATTTTATCTGGTACTGACTGCGACTGGTCGCAAGTGTGACTCGGCAAGGGGTATCGGGTTCGATTCCCGGGTCAGGCAAAGTATTACTACTATTTTTTTAATTCTCAGTAGTAGCACGGAGTCTGGAATTATGCCCGGTATATGGCAATAGGCTCACCCCCTATTGCATGGGACTCATCACATAAATAGTGGAAAGTAGGTGTTATATTGTACAGTGGGATAATGTGTACCTCTGCCTACCCCTTCGGGGATAAAAGGCGTGATGTTATTATGTAATAAATTTATATCGACAACATAATATGTAAAATATAACCTATCTAACAATAACTTGCATGCTCCGAGGAATGGAAGACTTTAAATTGGGTAGCCGCAGCTGAGTGCAAGTGCACTCACATAAATGACAATTAGGAACCATCATTTAATTCGCATTTAAGTTTGATTTATGTATAAAAGTACTACCTATTTATAGAAGCGACGTCTGTGGAAAGTTGGACATCCGCAAAACTAGGGAAGTTACAAATACTGTACCAGCCTTTGAAACTAATCTAAATAAGTATTATATTTAAAATATTTGTTTATCCGGTATGTTGTAAGCATAGTATCGTCTCAGTTTACTTAGTTATGAAATACGTTAACATCAGGAAACAATCACTCAAAATTAACACTCGAATAAATCGATTAGAGACAGTTTTGTTCATTTTTATGACTTAGATATAGCTTTCAAAGTCATGGGATATTAAGATATATTTCAATTAAAATCAAATCAAATAGATATACCGATATATTTACTTTCAAATTTTCACGAGCCATTTATAGATATCTAACAACATTTTAATAGGGGTTCGCAACCACACTTATTAAAAACTAAAAAAATTATATGTTCTACTCACTCTAAGACGGGGTCCAAGCTTCCCTGCGGCTCCCACATGATTACACTTCAACTTAAACTACAACGAAAACAAAATAAACAAATAAATAAATAAATAAACAACAATATATTATGTATAAACAAATACACCGCGTAACCTACTATCTTTGGCGACAGTTTTAAACCTACTGAGTCGGCATGACATGAAATGAATTAAAAACCAGTTATATGCCTGTTATACAGGTACAAACGTGGAGTTAAATCTTTGAACCACATTTTTCTATACTATTAAAAGTACACACACGTACCTGAATAACTGTTTACAAATATGGAATAACAAAAACCGGCAATATAACTTATTTATCTAACACTACTTGATTAAAATGAATTACTTACTATTTTTCAAAGACCTTGAATTTGATTATATAACAAGCTATGACCGGCTGTTTAAAGTATATGCAAATAAATGACACTTGAACACGAGCAAACTCGAAAATATAAGTGGAATTTGTGTACTATACATAATAATTGTGTTTGGGTGAAGTAAGTGCTATGTAATCTGATAAGAAGTTTTGTGTGATAAGGAGATTAACACCTCCCCCGTCGGAAATATCCTGTTGCAACTAGCTATATTATAAGGCTCCTGTAATAGATGTGTGTTTATAATAGTAACGAATACGAAAGTAATTGGTTTTTTATTTACCTCACTCTCATTGCGTCAGGTTAACATTGACAAGCCCTTGACGAGCAAGCCCAACGTACTACCCAACCACTGAAACTTTTACTACTCAACTTGATGCAGAAAGGATTATATTTTTATATTAATCTCTGACATTGATCGTTTTATTTACATTTGTATTGTGTGGTAATTGGTAATAGGTTTCCATGAGACAAAAAATTGACGACTAACATGACAAATAATTAATTATAGGTAGGTTTTTTTTAAGGGGGTAAAATCATTGAATGACTGCTCCCGCCTGGGTGAGGCGGGAGGGAGTGTCAGACTCTTACTGACTAAGAACCACCCCGTTCCTCCTCCTGCACGTCGCGCCGGAGCCCCGGTAACCCATTAGTTTCTACGCGACAATTATAGTTACGTTGCGGTTGAATTAGTCCTATGAAAAAGATTGGCCACAGAACGCTTTAAAAAGAGACGAGTGGAAGGAGGGTAGGGAGGCCTTCTCCTTAAGTGGGACGAACAAAGCTAAAAATAAAATAATAAATAAAATAAAAATAGGTTGCGGTTTACTCGCGTAACTGATCAACAAGAGGCCCAGGTGTGACTTGAAATTGATCGAGTCACCAAAAAAGTTAATTTATGTTCTTACAGTTCGAAATTGTCGAACGTATAATGTTAAAAGCCGTGCAAAATAATTAATATGCCATGTCATTAACGGTAACCATGCCAGTACCTAATGACTTCCTCAAACTGCATGGCGAGCACACACTGACAACCGACGTGTTTTACTTATTATTAGCTAATTAGATTGCTGATCACGACTCAAATCCATGATATACAGTAGTTAAAATGCTAGTCAGTGTCGCTTATTTTTAAAATTATGTCTTCTGATATAGAATGCTAATGGAAATTTGCAAAAAAAAATACATTAATTTTCCAATCTGGAAATTCGTGTTTCGTCTTATTTTGGTTTAGAGATTGTTATAATATATTATATAGGTTTTTATGCAATCAAACTTACTCGTGTGCGCAAAGCATGGAAATTATGGCCAATCATCATACGCAGAGAAGGAAATTGTCCAACAGTGATTACAGTAGACTCTCCTGCGTTGTTGATGTTGGTGTTACTATTATAAACGGCATGGTATTGCCGGTGCAAAAAATATTTCAGACATATCGGGTCGATACAGTTACAGTTTATTATTATTAAATATAATATATATTCTTAACGCATTGGCTGCCGTGTCGGACAATGTTGTCCGACGCTAGCGGAGGATTAGTCTTTAAAAGTTTTTGTCGGCAGTTAAAGGCCTAATTAATTAATTTATTACATTATAACACCGCATTATCAATCATTAATTTTTATTATATTGTCCAATTTAGGTAAAAAATATCATCACATCTAACAAATATAAAGAAGAAATGAAAAACATTATTTTTAACAATAGATGTTATGCATATAAACCTTCCTTTAGAATCACTCTATTAAAAAAAACGCTTCAGAATCCGTTGCGTAGTTTTACAGATCTAAGCATACATAGGGAAAGACAGACGGCGGATAGCGACTGTACTATGTAGTGATATGGGTAACCGGGGCTCCGGCTCGACGTGCAGGAGAAGGAACGGAGTGGTTTTTAGTTTTTAGTCAGTAAGAGTCTGACACTCCCTCCCGCCTCACCCAGGCGGGAGCAGTCATTCAATGATTTCCCCCCCTTAAAAAAAAAGTGATATAGGTTATTAATTTCGGCCGTAAGTGGACCACACAGGTGCGCACATGTCTGGCTAAATAAAATACGTGCAATTTAATTAATATATATTTATTTTGTCAAGTATCGTAACTTATATACTAATCACGAATCTGTCAATGTATCATAGACAGACAAGATTGACTATAATAAGGAGAAAAACAATTGTCTTGGGTCTAACTACTGAAAGGCTACTCAAATATCATGTTATCTCTGTCATTCTACAAAGAATGAACAGTGACAGAACTATAATTAAGTAGCGTTTTAGTATTTGGACATTATAGAACTTATTAGGTAATAAAATATATTTTAACTTTCAACAATTAGATGTAGTTTTTATTCACAATCAGCAGCTAAGGATTACAGCTCTATTTTATCAGAATATAACCTTTGTCGCACGACTAATCGCGCCACCATATTGTCTGTAGAGAGAAACCAGAACAAATACAGGATAATATGGTTGCCGGCTAACAGTTACGCAACAAATTTGACACCAAGGGAAATATCCTCCACATTTTGTCCATGTACGACTAGTCTTAATAAAATAGTGCCCTTATTATTGTTTGTTACACAAATCTACAATAGTTTAACATTTATTTGAAATATACAAAAATATAAGTTGTATAAGGTAAATCTTACACAGTATTAATAGTCAGAATATCACATACATAAGTAATTACAAAACTAGAATGAAAGGAATGGCTTAAGCAAATCACGGTGGGATGAAAATTTTTTATTAATATTTTTTAGGAAGAAAAACTCTAATTGGAGCATTTATATGTGTACTTGTATAGACGTGAGTGGACGGCAAGAGTTTGAATAAACCAAAAATAGGTGGATGGACACTCTTATCAAATAATTCCACAGATCGTGTATAGAGGTAATAAAACCTTAAAACGAAATTGGGATCATTAACAAAAAATTATAACAAAAAAGTACAAGGATTTGTCCTTTATTCACAAAAATAACTAAACTGGATTTCTAATGAAAACAATAATTTTGCATAAATGTATACAAAGAAAATAATCAACAAAGAAAAATGATATTTCTAATCACAAGTATCAAGAAAGACTTAATAGTTACAAATAGAAAAAGAAATCGTAAACATGGCCACTGTAATCACACATTTCTTTATACACAGAACAGAAAACTTTGGTATAAGAAGGCAGGAACTAAAAAAATAGTTTTTCAAAATATTTGTTCAGCAAGTATTGAAAATACAATTACAAGTTATTGATTTACAATACATATTTATAAAGGCATTGAGCGTTGGCTCAATGTGTAGCCAGGGACATTATAATTCACTATATTGGCCCAATGCGTTGGCCCAATGTCTAGAGCCGCCTTCATTTATTTTATACTAATCTTTGCACCTATGTTGAACATCTTAGTAACAGAGTCGACAAAAAATGAGTACATAATAATATTCGAGATAATCTTTTTAAGCTAGATAAGTATATCAAGATTGAAACTACTAACTTAATAGTATGAACACATACAAAGTACTCACGAAATGTGAGTACATTTACAGATCTTTTTAGACACTTTCGACAATTGTCAGGGATAATAGAATCATTTTTAATTCCACGTATGTGAATATATTTATTAAATTTTGAAATAAGATTTTATAATTCGATGCACATTAGAAATTGTTTAGAGACCCGAATTTGCATAGTGATTTGTTAAAAATCGTATCGACAAACTTAAAACTAGATAATACAAGAAGTAATGATAAAAAATTAAGAAAAAATAACGTAATATTTACGACTGAAGTGTTTGGAAATCTTCTTCTTTATCGCGATGAGAGTTTGAGTATAAATGTATGCGCATTGAGTGAAGAGACATCGCCTTCGTGTTGCATAGTTTGCAGGTCAACTCCATGCTCGAAGCATTTGGTGTCCTGTTGTACAAGCAATCTTTATCATTATACAACAATAGTAGGGTTAATGTCCGTCTGGTAGTTTATTTTAAATCATTAGACACGTATTTTTTATTTTCTCACAGAAACGATTTTCTTTCAAAGATATATTGTTTTGTTTTACGTCAATTCTATGTACATTTTACGTCACTTCTATGTACACTTTATACGCAGAAATGACGTTTTAGCCCCCACTCCTAAACTTTGATTCGTTTTATCTAAGTATAATTTTATTATACGACAAAATAAGAAAATATGTGTCTAATATTATTTTATTGCCTAACTTACGGACTAATTAGATTTTTAATTTTCATACCCTGTCATCATCCCAATTGTTTAAAATATTAGCTGTTGCCCGCGATTTTGTCCGCGTAGAATATGATTCCTGTTTTATCCCATGGGAGAATTTAATCGGGATAAAAGGCTATCACTAAAGTTACCTTGCCTGTATACCAAATTTCAAGATCTAAACAGAAGTCGCACTGAGCCTACTCTACAAACAAAGTAGTTGTCAATATTAACAAAATAATAATGTTGTATCATCACAGTATGTAGGTACAGACGCATTATAAATTGCGTGACAGAATATTAAGCATAATTTTACAAAGGGAAATAAGTGGTGTCATTACATAATGATAAAACTACAGTAACATTTGCTTATTATGTGTAATTTGGATACAAATTGGTACAATTAACTTATTATGTTGTCATAGACTGCAATAAAACTCGTTTTGCAAGGAAATTAGATGTGTTATTAGACTCGAATTTGATTAGGGCTTCGAATACTAATTCTAGATGATTTTTCGGAATTCAGAAGGTGGACACCGAAATGTGTATTTGTCACAGTAGCATGTAATACCGTAGTTGCCAGGGTATGAAAATTAATAATCTAAATTAGTCCAATGAAAAAATATTACACATGTGTTTTTTTATTTTCTCCTATAAAGTTACAATACTTCGATAAAATGGAATTAAGTTTAGGAGTAGGTCGTATTTGAAATACAATATTTCAAATTAAGAAAAGAAGAAATACATGTATAATATTTAAAATTAATCTACCAGGCGGACATAAATATAAAATTTATCAAACCACCCCTTTTTTTTAAACATTGCACCACACTAAGATTTTCTCCTGTGTCGTGGGTACGTTTACAAACATACAAGTTCACATACACATGGCATCCAGACAATCTGTGGATCACACAAAGAGTTGCTCCGTGCGGGAATCGAACCCGCGACACGTTGCGCGGCAGCCAGTTGCCCAACTACCGCGTCAACCGTGCAGTCAATATGATTTAGTCGTTGGTCATACCGACATAAGCGCGATTGCCCACCAAGAAATTCATTTAGTTGCTATAACACCCAGATTTTTCTGGTGTATGGTTCCTATCATAAAATAGTCATACCGCAACAAATTACTAGAGCAAGGTAAGCCGTATTGATCAAACTATACCAAAAAGTGGATCCACTCTTTACTATACAAAACTGTCCCTTCCCCTCCACATAACAAGTTTACAAGTCTAATAACAAGTTTACCATTAAAAACATACATACCTGGACACAAGCAACTTAAGTTCTTCATTTTCCTTCTTAAGTTTCAGTAGATGGTCCCTGGTGAGTGGCAGTAGTTCCTGCGGCGCCAGTAGTGGGTATATAACGGCGCACTGCATCATGTCAGGGACTGAGATCTCCAGGAGCTCTGCCTCGGCCACGGAACGCCACTCCCATGTACGGGCCACGTATTCCGGCTCGCGGTGGCGACGGCGTTTCATTAGAAGGCTAGAAGGTGATAGAAAAATAGAGAGGTATAGACTTATTTATTAGCTCTTAGGTTTGTAGGATTTTCGTCTACATAGAACATGCATTTAGAAACTTAATTTTGACTTCTAAATTTACCACCTATCTTCGCAATATCATACTCGAGACTCGAAACAGCAATTGATAGGATTACACAAAGAATTTTTACATTTCGATTTTCAACGTAATGCATCATCATATGGTCGAATCTAGTTTAAACTCCATAGTCTAAAGTTCTAAACTCTTTAATTTAATAGGCAATCTAAATAAAACATATGTCGTTATCTCACGCCAATATAAAAGGTGTACTCACGCGAGTAGATCCTTGCGTATGAGCTGTGGTACTTGAGGTTTGAACGCGTCCTCGGCAGTGGGCTGTTCCTGTCCGTCGTAGCAGAACATCATGTAGTCCATCAAGTGGCGGATGTGGTTGATCTGGTAATATAAACAATGTATAAGTACTTCATCATACATAATATATTACAACAGTAAACAAATGTGGGCAAATAGTTAATAAATCATATACATTTTATACGCGGGAGAGTTTATAGATAGCTTTAGCACAAATGGGCCGGCCCGAACGGAGTGATGTTTCGGCTTGATAGAAAACCAACGTAAAACAAATTTGCGTTGTTTTCCCGTGAGAGTGAGGTTAACAGAGGCTCAATCTACCTCCCCAAATCTCCAATCCTGAAATCCTTAACCTCCGAAGGTCTTGTAAGACTCTCTCGATGTCGCGTCTGTCCATGGGCGACGCCGATTGCTTAAGGTGATCAGTCCGCTCGTTTTGCAATGAATTTCATGATATGATAGTAAGGTAAGCAGGTACGTACAAGACCAATATCCTCTACGTCGAGGTCCGCGTCGATGTCAATGAGTAGATCGTGCTCGGGCAAGTAAGGCTTGCCCGCGTCCGTGCTGCCCAGCCCGCACAGCGCGCACACGTAGCGCGTGCCCAGCGAGTTGCGGCGGAGCTCCGCGCTGTGGGCAGGATACATCTACTTGTTATCGACATTTCAATATATAAAACTGTATTACTAAGAATCTGTGTCACATAGGTAGGTAACAAACAAATTAATGGACGACAAACAACTTAATTGGGTACTTTCCTTAATCAAAAATAAATTATTTCAACTGTTCAATACAATAAAATATTAAAAAAATAATCACACTTTCATTAATTGATTTTATGACTAACTTAGTTTTAGTATTTTTCCAGCAGTCGTACAACAATCTCGTACAAAATTTATAGAAAACTGTCGTTTATGACAGTTTGAAAAAAGTATTGAATTTGACTATACTCGGAATTTTAATTCGATTCCAGATTTGACAATTTCAGTGTTGCAACGTTATGACAAGTACTAAATAGTGACGTTCCGAAATTATTCGATATGGAAATGCAATATTTCTGGATTGATTCTTCTTGTTTATAATTTCACTCTCGTAAACTAAGTATATCAGGAAATTAAATATTTCTGAACCGATAATTTAGTTTTGACGATTACTTAACGATCCTGAGACTTTTCTTTTATAATTGTGTGTGAAATAAATGAAAAAATGTAATCATGAAGGAACATGACAAATAAAACAGATAGATGTATTATGGTAATAAGTTATTTTATAAATTGTCGCCGTCATCGCTATCGCTATCCTGTCACTTTCTGTAACATTTGTTATAAAACACACACACTGATTGTTTATCGATTTTTGTATTCATCACTACACTATTATATGTGGTATCATCAATTCACAAAATGACAGTAGCTATTGTCAAATCTGGAATCTAATTAAAAATCTGACTATAGTTGGCAAGTACCCAATTCATACAAATTACGTTCTATAATATTTATCTAGTACATGGCGGCTGTTCTGTGTATCCAGACATTGTGAATCAGATAAGCAAACCATCAAGTCCACAACTTTATTCATTATATCAAATCCCAATCTAAAGCTATGCATATAGATGCGTATGCGTAGATATGTACGGTATATGACGCATCTACGGTCTGCTCAACGCTTAACTATAATATTATGACATGGTCAAATTCAAAAAGTATTTATTTGCGTAAATAAGATTAAGATAGTTATCATTTTATAATAACTTAGGTCCTCTTATTTTGCCTTCAACATCGGCGTGCAAAAATAATGTAGGTATTTTACAAACTTGTAAAAATTTTGTTATAATGCTATTTCCATGAAAATTAAGATTAAATAAAAGAGAAAAATGTTACAAAATTAACCAGAGATGTCATAAAGGTTCATATCTATTATTTGCTTTTTCTACTAGAACCATTAAAACTGTCGTCTGCAAAGCGTAGAGCTTATGACACATCCTCCCCTCCCTTGTCTACGTTCCACCGCAATATGTTATTTACTGTCAAAGGTTGATGATAAGTACTTACACGGGACAGAAGAGTAGCGCGATGATGGCAGGCAGGCCGGGTATGTTGGGCATCAGCGTGGTGTGTCGCAGGGTCAGACGGGAGCGCTGCTCGTTGCTACCCACGTCGCCTGCTACTACCAGTCTGAGGGGAGAATGTTGCAGGTATTCATTTTACAAAACACTGACTTAACAAAGTATTAATACGTTTTTCAGCACAGTGCCAATGATAGTGCGTCATGTATGGCAACGGATGCGCCATTAATTTTACACGACATCACTGTCTAAAATATTTACAAACTATTACGATATATTTTGGAATTATATCGTATGTATTTTAACCCCTTGAAAATTGTTGAAAATCATCCCCTAAACTTGTTCATACAAAAGTAGTCTTTAACATTGGAAATAAGGTAATAATATAGTTAGTAAAGAGCGCTCACCGGTGACCGCTTGGGGATATACGGGAAGACCCTAATGTTACCTCTATGTTTACAATAATAAATGAATTTGAATGATTCTTTCAGATCTTTAAATTCAATTGTTTTAGAAAATGTTTACTAATAATATGTAAACAATTTTACACAGCAGTCTTTACAGTAATTAAAATTTAATTAACGGAAAAATTCATGTAAAAATTACGATACAACTAATAAAAGAAAACACAAAAATAAAGCAAATTGGCGTTTTGTTATCTCTGCTTCATTGGAAGACAGATACGACTAAAATTAAGCAAGTTTATAAGACGAATGCAAAAAGAACACTTTGAATATTACCTTTCATATCTCTCCTGTGGCTCAGTGTCTAATAACACAGAGTTGACGGAGTTCCACTCTATAGACACGGGCAGGTCCCGGCTCGCAAACATCAGAGTGTGCACTGTCGTCTCCAACGGACTGTGGAATGAAGATACTTAATATTAAACTTATCCTATATTATACATAAACTTTTCTTGAGGGAGGAAAATCATCCAATGACTTGTCCCGCCTTGAGTGAGGCGAGAGGGAGTGTCAAACTCTTACTGACTGAAAACCACCCCGTTTCTACTTCTGCTCCGGGAGTGTCTAACTCCCGGTAAAACTGCAAGGTTAAGCCGATAACTCGCTCTCTTCTACAAATTTCATAGGAAGTATCCTAAATGAAATAAATGATTTTGACTTTGACTTTGACTACACCGTGAAATCTATTTCGTTTTCGTCCCCGTCGTTTCGTAAAAGGTTCTGCCTCGGTAATACAATAGTTTTACAAAGAAATAAACAATTTAAAACAAAAAAATACTGATGAACCATTGCAAAAAGAAAATTTCGAAAGCGCATTCGAACTCATAGTACATTATCAAAACATCACGCCGTGTAATTCTCAAATAGGTATTTCTCGTCGGGCGGCACGTACGATGCGAATAGTGCCTACAAAGTTACGTCCAATGTTTCATGTGCGCATTTCCATGAATAGGGTACATTACTAATTTTTATTTTAATGTACTCCTGGTAGATTATTTTAAATCATTAGACACGTATTTTTTTTCTTACAGAAACGAATACTTTCGACGATATATTGATTTGAAATGTCGCGTGACGTCACTTCTATGTACATTTTATAAGTAGAAATGACGAGCCACCACTCCTAAACTTTGATTCGTTTTATCTAAGTATTGTTTTATTATACGACAGAATAAAAAAACACGCGTCTAATATTTTTTCATTGCCTAACTTACGGACTAATTACATTTTTAATTTTCATACCTTGTCATCATCCCAATATACAAAAAAGAAGGTGACGTCTTTATTTTTTTTATTTTACTTTATACGTCGAGAGTAAGTAGTACTTGCTAGTACTAAGTACTCATGGCAATTTGTTTCACCGCGGGACGAAAACGAAATAGATTTCACGGTGTATAAAAGTCTAGCCCATTAGATAGTACTGAATTACCTGTACGGGCCTTTGAGGCATACATCGGAGTCGCATTCCTTAGTGCTAGGCGGTTCAATCTCGTTCAGTTGGTAGTAAGCCATCTCTAACTGTTCCCTATTGTGCGCGCGTTTCTGAACCATGTTCATATCTACTGCCATCTCTCGAATGTCGTGGTTTAGCTGTAAAAGATATAATATTTTGTAAGTAATATAATTTAATAATAATATAAATTAACAATAATAAAAAAATAACTTGAAGTACATTATAAAATAGGATGTTTGCGCAAACAATCTCGGGTTGCGCAAGTTCACAAAATTTTGCGCAAAATGTTATTTAAAATGCATTTTATTGCTATATACGGTTTAAGACATTTATTTCTCAAAAACAATTTACATTGAGTTAAAGTTAACTGAGAAATACAAAATATACATAAGTAGGTACAAAATATAAGATAGATATAAAATAATATTACCTTAGATTCGTAACTCTCATCGCAGGAAACAGCGAAACCTAGCCTAATAAGCTCGTTGTTTACGTTGAGCCTCCCGCCTTCTGCCAGTAGCTCGATGTTTATTATTCCATGTACCACGGAATACACCTAGAACGAAAACAAATCTTTGTTTCGGCATTGTATGTCGTATGTTTTTATGAAATTAATTGTATAAGCAGGGCTGGATATGTCGTCTGTTGCTTAGTAATACATTTTTATCATTACACTTTAGTAATAAAGTTGAGATTCGTCTAAAAAAATCATATTTATGACATAGCAACCATTTCTGTTATAAATAATTATAACGTGGATGAGGCTTTAATGTAGGGTACTATTCCTTGTTTGCTCACTAGATGTGGCAAGAGGTTTTTTTGTCCAATCACTGTAGCCGTCCAATAATAATTGTCCAATGGTGTAACACTAGTCCAATTCCATATCAATAGACGAATAACGAAGTTCCGTACAAAATTATTCATTAAAACCTTAATAGGTACCTAATTCACAATTTTGTGGACATTAAGTTATATCATTATAATATGGGCTTATGGCACCGACTTCTAACCTATCAGTGGGTGGGTAACCTATCAATACTAATGTAGTTATTTTTTGCATTTTAGTTTAGACTTTTTGTTTGTTATTAGTTTTTGGTTTTTTGAAGTCGGTTTTTTAAACACAGTGTTTATTATATTATTTTATCATTTTCAGTGTAAATATACATATACCCGTTTTGTTACTACATAGTTGCAAAGTTCTAATCAATACAAATTAAACAAGCCCAAACACAAGGTAGTTACAGTATACCGTTGAGGTGTTCCCTTAATAATTACACTTCTTCATCATCAGACCCTTAATGACAGCCCCACTCTATCTAGGTGTAAAGTCCTCATCAATACAAATTAATCAAGCCCAAACACAAGGTGGTTACTGTATACCATTGAGGAGTTCCCTCGACTGTCTGTCGGCTCCATCATCAGGTCGACTCCAGACCTTTATCAAATTGTAGTGTTTAAAAATCCTAATTGAAAAACATAATAGACGTATAACTCGCGGCATAGAATTTTCGAAAGTTCCCTTCGGTTTCCCTAGGATCCCATCATCAGATCCTGATCTCATGGAAATGGGACCATCTCGGGAGTATACCCTTACAAACAAAAGAAGAATTTTGGAAATCGGTTCACAAATGGCGGAGTACTGCGCGAACAAACAAAAAAAAAACAATCAGCCGAACATAGTACCTCATCCTTTTGAAGTCGGTAAAAATACAGCCCCCGTTCAGCTTCCTAATTATTTTTATTACCTTGGCGAGCAATCTGCCTCGTGAAGCGAGTTGCACGAAGCGTTGTGTGGCGGCGGGAGTGTAGTGTCCGTGGGAGTCCAGCAGTGGACTGGGCGCCAGCCCCGCCAGCCGGCAGCGCATGGCCAGCGGGGGCGACGACCTGGCCGCCGCGGGCAGCCCGCGCAGGTTGCACGAGTGGACGCGACCCTCGCTGCCGTAGTCTATGTACAATACCTGGAGTACAAATGGTTTTATAGTCAGTGTACTTGTTGAGCTATGGGCAAAACTGGCAAGGGTTCAGAAATCCACGACTATCTTGGATTTCTGAAATCGGTTGTTGTAGAATATACAGACAGAGTTCTAGTCAGGACATAACGACGCCTTGACGCCCACGATTGATCATTAAAAAGAAGAAATATCATCTTGCATTCAACAAACACACAAAGGATATATTGATACACTCAGTACCCTGAACGCAATGGTAAAATCTCTATGATGATGACATGTACACGCCACAATTACTTGACGTATCAGAAAAAAAATACATAACCTCCAGGGCCTTTAGCCAAACGCCACTTTAGCGCTTGTCTACAGAGAGTAGAAAACTAAATGTATGGAGATGACACTGACAAGTGTTAAAATTTACGTCAACTCCATATTAGGTTTTCTATTCTACATGTAGACAAGCGCTAAATGGCATTTGGCTACAGCTGCAGGATACAAACAAAATTAAACATCTATAATCTAAAGTTTACCTCAACCATTTCTCTGGGTAGCAATGCCATGACTCTGACGCGACATATCTGCGTAGACCCAGCCTCAGTATACGGCGCAGCCAATATATTCCCCGCGACTACGGGCCCCGTGTGAGCCAGTAACGTAGACTTGTTCAACGCAGACTGTATAGTATGCAACTCACGCTCCGTACTCTCGTCCGCGTATTGCACGTAGAACTTGTTTATGCTTGTCATCTGAATTGACAAAAAATTTATAGTAAAGAGATACTTTTGTTAGTCATAACGAGTCGTAAATAAAAATAACAAAGCCGAAAAAAATATGTAAAACTAGTTTGTACTTTTTGGGGTAATAAAATTAATACCGATCGTTATATAGAGTTATTTTGAAAGCTACATTAAATATTAGGGTTTGTGTCTTAACTTAAGGAGATGCTCGACTAATTTCGACGGAGTTCGAAAATAGTCGGCCATCCCTTTAATAGAACATAACATGTATATTTATTTTTTATGGGACAAGCTCGCCATAACCTCCCAAAACCGCTGCAACTCCTGTAAGCCAGGATCTACAATAGATACAACCATGAATACACCAGAACACTGAAGTCCGGCGCGTCCCAGGGACATGAATTCTTGGTTTCCGCAACGAAGTGAATCAGAAGATATTATAAGAGAAGAAGAAGAAAATACTATGGTTTCCACTTCATAACATGTATATTATGGAAAAGTCGCATACAACACTATTCTATTTTATATATCTTACGATAGTTATTATAGACACTGTTGTACGATCATTATGGGCCTCCCCTACTAGTTTGTCATAATCTCCAATAATAAAGTACACGACTTACCTGACTAATCTTCATAGGGAAATGTGTATCATCGACTTCGGGTAGACGAGGCACCATTAATTCTAAGTCCAACGCCATCTTGTCCAAGGCATACGCCGCGGCCATCGTTTGCGCCTTGTCCCGACTGAACAACATATTATTACGATAATTACAACATTTATGGTCATGGTAGAATAGACTACATGTTTATCGCTAATCCTACAATTCCCGCGGATGTGTCTTTACATGATCCAATAGGGTAGTAGGCAGTGTATGAAATTTAAAAATGTAATTAGTCCGTCAGTTAGATAATGAAAAAATGAAAAAAAATATATCAGACACATATTTTTTTTATTTTGTCGTATAAGAAAACACTACTTAGACAAAACAAGTTTAGGATTGGGGGGTCGTTACGTCGCGCTACCCTATACAATGTAATAAATCGTGACGTCATAAAGTCAAAGTCAAAGCATTTATTTCAATTAAACCATAGTTTGGTACTTTTGAAACGTCAACAAATACAAAATAAATAATAGTCTGTCAGTCAGTCCGTCAGTGAAGCTAGGTGAAGCTAGGTGCTCATTCCAAAACGTAGATTCGAATGGAGAAGAACGAGCAAGAAACTCCATTCGTTACTCTTTTAAAAAAGTATGTTCTACAATGTCTCTGATACATATTTCAATACTGTACGCATATGTAAGAACAATGCAAAGACACGCTTAACGCATTATACTAATAACTTACTAAAATAAAAATAATAAAGATCTTAAGTCTAACATGGTGCTCACATATGCATACTGACAATCCATAGAAATAGTGCTTCTATACAAGAAAAAGGAAACTCTTTGTTTCAATAAAGAAAGAAATGCTCGATGCCATAAGGAAACTAGATTGTCTACATTCGAATTAAAGTATTAAATTATGTATTATATTACCTACTATTGGAATTTAACTACTGACTACATTTGAGTATTGTCCAGTGGAGCCGAACCAACATGCTGCCAAGCATTCTTATCTTCAAGATAATCTGTCAGTGTGTAGTAAGCTTGATTACATAATTCGCGCTTAATATATGTTTTAAATTTACTTTCATTGAGATCTAGTATGCTATTTGGTATTTTATTATAGCATTTAATACCTAACCCCATAAAGGATTTCTGTACTTTGGACAGTCTGAATTGCGGTATAGCTAACTTATTTTTGCCTCTAGTATTAAAATTGTGTCTATCGCTTCTTTTTTCAAACAATTGCCTATTTTTCCTTACATACATTATATTTTCATATATATATTGACAGGGCACCGTTAAAATATTTATCGTTTTAAACAATTCTCTCAACGATTCGCAACGGCGTAAGTTATATATTGCTCGGATAGCCCGCTTTTGCAGAATAAATATTGATTCTATTTCTGCAGCTCGACCCCACAACAAAATGCCGTACGACATAATGCTGTGGAAATAACTAAAATAGACAAGCCTAGCTGTATCCACGTCCGTGAGCTGTCTAATCTGTCTAACTGCAAAAGCAGCTGAGCTCAATCTCCCCGAAAGCGCCTTTATATGCGGACCCCATTGTAGCCTATTGTCTAACGTAATGCCTAAAAATACTGTCTCGTCGACAAATTCTAACTTTTGACCGTTCAAAACAATATCACAATCGTTACTACGCACGTTTGGTAAACTGAATTTAATACATTTTGTTTTTTTTTCATTAAGTGCTAGATTATTAATGGTAAACCAATTATGCACTTGAAGAATGGAGCTGTTTACGTCGTCAAGATTATTTGTACGTCGATCTACTTTAAAAATTAATGATGTATCATCTGAAAAAGCACCATTCTTGGTTCATTTTTAAATATAAATGGCAAATCATTTATATAGACTAAAAAGAGAAAGGGACCCAATATTGAACCTTGAGGAACGCCCATATTCATCCCAGAGCCCTGTGAGTTAATACCGTATTCATATTTCAAATCAATATAATATCTACGAATGTATTTAATTTTGTAAGAAAAGAACAAATACGTGCCTAATGTTTTAAAATAATGTACCAGACGGGCATAAAAATAAAATTTAGGATACTACCCTATTACAGGATACCGTACAAGCTATGCTGGCTACCGTGATGTGTAAAGTGTAAAGAGCTAAAAACTGAAGCTAACTAACAAATTTATCTAGATATTGTGTAATTTGTGGACAAAGTTCTAGAATAACATAATTTTTGCATATCATTATATAAAATTGATCATTTTATTCTTACTACTTTTTAATATGTTTCCACTCTGATTTCGCATAACCGAGAGTTTCAAATTAAAACTTCATAGTCGGTTTCAGAAAAAAAAAAGGAATATTTATACTTACGGCAATAATGGTATCCTGACGTCTATCCGAAGCTGTCTGGCCTTCACAGCTTTGTACACTGGCAGGACCACTTGGCCAGGTATTGTGGGGTCCTACGAATACACAACGAACGTAGTAAGTGCACATAGAAATTGGGTATTTGCCAACTAGTCAAATTCAATACTTTTCTCGAACTGTCTAAAACTACAGTTTTCTATGTTTTTTTTTACGAGATTGTGTATTGTGACGTCGCGTTTGTTTAGCGTCAAACAGCATAATTATTTCTTATAAATTAGCAAGAAAAATACTAAAATTAAGTTGGTCATAAAATCAATTAATGAAAGTGTGATTTTTTTACATTATATTGTATTGAACAGTCGAAATAATTTATTTTTGATTAACGAAAGTACCCAATTACTTTTTACTCAATCAAGTCAAAGTGGTTGAAGGGATCGGACTGACGAGTATGGTCTGGAATAAAACATAGGCTACTTGTTATCCCACGGGAAGGCGGGGTAGATCTGCCGGCAGAAGCTAATCTTACACTATTATAAAAAGCGAAAGAGTTTGTATTTTTGTTTGTTTGTTTGAACGCGCTAATCTCCGTAACTACAAGTCTGATTTGAATAATTATTTTTATGTTGGATAGCGCATTTATCGAGGATATAAAAGAGGCTATAAGGAGGCTATAAAACATCACGCTACGACCAATAGGAGCTGAGCAGAGCGTGTGAAACCGCGCGGAAGTTGCTAGTATAATTTATAAGTCTTTAATATTTTTCTGGTTGCCTGTCTTAAAGGCACGATTGTCTGTCACCTTTAAGGGTGCGTCCACATCTGGCGAATGCACGCGTGCAGTCACGGCAATGGTTTGGTGCTCAACTCATACAAGGTTAAATAAAAATTTTAAATACATGCGCGCAGCTCGCGGGCGGCTCGCGAGCTGCCCATTCGCCAGATGTAGACGCACCCTAACATAAGAATAAGAATTATTTATTTATTTAGCAAAACAAAGGACAAGTATACCTATTATTTAACGAAATGTGATCATCGAATATACCTATTGTATGTCCTACTCATGTTTATACAAATAAAATACTCTTTATATTTGGTCTTTTTACAAGTAAATATTAATTTATATTATTATTATATTATTAGGAGAAGGATTGTCATTAGAACTTACGCCACTATTTTGATTTCCAGGTTTGACGTCCGATCCATCATTGAATGTCAAGTACACTTTCCTGTTTAAAAGAAAATAAAAAAATATTGTAATTACTTTTTAAAACATCACTCTAATATCGAAATAGACCATAATATGTAGAGATCAGACCATATCCTAAAATCATTACCTGCTAGTACTATCGAAGGTAACTCGCGGCTCTTCAGAAATTTGCTTCAAAACTGCCTTCTTTATCGCACCCGCGTACACTTCGCCTGGTTGGTCGTCCGGGAAATTCTTCAAGTAAACCTAAATAAATAAAAGAAGGTTCGAAACTAGGTCATAGGAATCGTCGGTTTTGACGTAATGCTACTCATGACTACGGGCCCCTGGCGTAGCTTAAACTGGTTAGTTTTGTAGTAACACAACGATGTGATTATACAAGGTGTTTCAGAATAAACGCAAGATTTGGTAGGAGCAACTATAAGCATCACTTTTTGGAGAACTGAAAAAAATCAATGCTATCTGTAAACTGACACGAATCGCGTCAATTTCTATGAATAGTTATGGGCTGTTGATGATTTATTAGGAGTTTTTTTAATATATACGTATATGCAGTGGCGTGCAGTCCATATAGGCGAAAAGGCTTTGCCTACCTATAAATATCGTGAATATATAACATACATAAAATGTACAAACGCGTTTATTAAAATTCAATAATATAATAAAAGTTTGTAAAAAAACGGCTAACATAAATACGCGCCTTTGTAAAGTAATGAATGCGCCCCGCACGCACCACGCATGCGCCACTATTCCTTAAATCTTGGTTGGCAGTAGTGACGTCACAAAAGAAATGTACCAAAAGTATGCACCGCGCATGCGTGAAGTTCACGACCATAGTCACGGTACAGAATAACCATTCATAATTATATTACACGATTCCTGTTGATTGACAAAATGTTTGCAACTAAAAAATTAGAGGACCGTTCGTTCATCACTTGGAAAACGATCGTATTTTATTAAGAATTCTAAAACAATAAAACAGCAACAAGTTATTGTATTTTTAAAAACAATTAAATTATAAAAGGTTTTAAATTGATAAAATCTGTATATCGTAAAGTACTGATGAATGGAGTACATCAGCGCCATCTATTGAATTTTTTGTTGAAACTTCTGAACTCGTTCGATATAATGCGAATGTATTTTTATAAATGCGTATTTAACAAATATGTTTCAAGTGTTTTAATTAAAGCTTAACATTTTTACGCGTTGTCGGTTTATAGAAATTTTAAACGAGGAGTTGACTTTATTATTATAAAAGTTAAAAGGAAGTTATTGAAACTTCAAGATGGCGCCATTTACAACGTTTCAAATTATATGAATGAATGTTTTTTAGTATGAAATATTGGTTTAAGACGATGATGCAATTTCATTTGACTTACTAAATTAACCTTTGTTTTTTTTAAATTAAACGCTGCATTACCTTAATTTTTAAGCTACATTTTTTTATAATAAACACTCAATTGACTATTGGTAATGACTTCAATTCGTTTCCAATGTTTTCGGCCATATTGTTTTCATGTGATGTGCGATCGCTTTGTTTATGTTTTCGTTTAAATTATTAGGAATTAGTTTTAAACATAAAGTTGCATAAATGTGTAGTAGTAGTTAAATATATGTGTAGGTTTTTCAAATAGTGTATTTGTTTATCAGTTTCTAGTACAAGTACCTATATTATTCGATTGTGAAGTGTGTGTGAATAATAGGTAATTTTATGTGTTTGTTGAAAGTAAAAACAGTAAGATTTCGCAAGAAAATGTCCTTTATCGGACTAGATTCAGGTAAAGACCATAGGCAGAGGTGTACTCGAGTTACGAGAATTGACCCAAGTAAAAGGTAGGTAATGTAAATATGTACTATAATGGATCTTTTATTTGATTTTCTTGTTTATTGTTTGATAATTCTTAAAAATATCAACTTAGACTTCGGGTTGTACTGATTCACATATTAATTTATTATTAATAATTATGTAATGTAGTAATAACATATGTACCGCATAGACTCGGCCGGCTCGGCCACAGCCGGCCGCGCTTGTTATTGTTTTGTTTGTTGACATAATGTAGGTACCTACGCTCTTAAATTCGTAATATATTATGATTTTGAACAGATTGATTAAACTAAACAATTCCATAATGAAATTTGGTTCATCAAATTTATGCCTTATTATTAAAATAAATAATAGATCCTTCATTATTTGTAAGTTTTGTTGGCTTATTCAATAGCTGATGAAGTACTTCACAAAAAATACGCGAGTTGTCAGTGTATGTAATTTGGCGAAAGAATACACCACAATATTCTTGAACGCACTTTTCGAAATGTATTATGTACATGTACCTATCTTGTGTGAGCATGATTGTATGACCGGCGGGGGGAGAGGGGTTTAATCATACGATATTTAGTTGCCTACCCTGTCTCGAAAACCTGTGCACGCCACTGCGTATATGTAATAGGAGGTATACGGGCAGACGGATCACCTGATGGCAAGCGATCAGCGCCGCCCATGGACAGCTGAAACACCAGAGGAATCACAGGTGCCTTCGAAGGTTTGAATGAGGTATAGGTTCGGAAATACCGTCGACGTCAAATCATTCACAGTTTTGCGGTGTGAAGCAGAAAGCTACGAGAAATATTTGTATATTGAAATATTTTTGGTTATGCATACCGTGTTCCTAGGATCATTTCCGCCGAGTGTACGCACTGCGTCACGTTCCCGGCTCTCGTCCTCCGACACTTGGATAAAGTACTGCGGGTAGAACGCGCCTGCTATTATCACCTGTGAACCAAATACAAATTATGAGTGGAAGGGATATTGGCTGTCTTATGTATTTTTTGATTTTTTGCTCGACTGCCTCGTTGGCCGTGTGGTCGCAAGTGCGACTGCCAGCCAAGGGGTCTCGGGTTCGATTCCCGGGTCGAGCAAAAATGTTACTGAAATTTTATAAAAATCTCAGTAGCAGCACGGAGTCTGGAATTGTGCCCGGTATATGGCAATAGGCTCACCCCATGGGACCCCCCTACATGGGACTCATAACATAAATAGTGAAAAATGGGTGTTACATTGTACAGTGGCATTAAATGCCGTAATGTGCACCTCTGCCTACCCCTTCGGGGATAAAAGGCGTGATGTTATGTTATGTGTGATTTTTTGTATTCGATTCCCGAGTACTTTTATTAACCGACTTCAAAAAAGAAAGAAGTCTGTGCGCAATTATCTCGCCATTGACTGAAGCGATTTTGATGCGGTTTTTAAGAAACGCGTTTGTTAACTTAGGAGTAGGTTTTAGAACATTAATCAACCGACTTTCAAAAAAGGGGTTTGAAGATGATTTTTTTTTAAACGTAGATAATAAAAGAATTATAGATATACAGCGAAAGAGGTATGCAGGAATCGTAGCAATTGGCGTTATATAGTCTCTGCCTACCCCCATGCGAGACAGGCGTGAAGTTATGTATGTATAGATATACATACCTTATACAGCAGAGAAAGTTCATGTTTATTCCACGGTGACTTGCCATTGGGTGGATCAATGCCTAGCGTAGCGAGTCGTTTTCTAAGGTCCTTCGCCAACTCGTCCAGTTCGCGTAGTGCTCGCGCTTGTACGTAGAAGCGACGCGCCCAGGCCGTCTCTGACTGACCAGCCGATCTGAAGTATTGTTGTTGACGGAGGTGGCTCCATACCTTCGGAAAAGATGGTTAGATAGTTCTTATTAGCTCGAAGATGTGCAGTGAGGCACAAAGGCTTTCCCAATAGAATATGACTTTTTACGGTATAGGGCGGCAAGCAAGCAGATTGATCTGTTGGTAAGTAGTAGGCGCCGCCCATGGTTGCTGAATTATGGGAATTGGACATAGGAGATGAGGGATTCGGGGGGTGGGAATAAGGCCTCCAGTAACCTCACTACGGTAAAATTTTGAAACGGTGAATATATTACTATTGTCGGTTCACTAACGAAACCCATCGATCACGAAATATAGCTTTTATTTCGTTTAAATATTAGAATTAATTTCTTTTTCGTGTTCTTGATGCATTGTAAGTGCATGTAATTATACACTTACCTTATAAACGTTGAGAAAAGCGATACAATCGCTGGTGGACCCGTCAGCCCAGGTCAGCTTAGAGTTGTAAGCATTCAGCCTTTCACGGAACGGACTGCTGAACAAGTTCTTCACTGACATCGCGGCAGCTGTGAAGAAACAAAGTAATTATGTTATTAGTATTCAAAACTGTACGTCACAGTACACTGCTGGACCTAGACCTACTACAGTACCCGAGCGTATGGCGTGTCGCGTTCCTCGCGCGCCTCCAAGAGCCATCAGACCTCCACGGATGGGGCCCAATAGGGCTGATGCCGATTCGGAGTCGCGGAGAACCTAACGGGTTACCGGGGCTCCGGCTCAAAGTGCAGGAGTAAGAACGGTGTGGTTTTTAGTCAGTAAGACTGACACTCCCTACCGCCTCACCCAGGCGGAAGAAGTCATCCGATGATTTTCCCCCCTTAAAAAAAGACCTACTACAGTACCCTGCTACACTTATATAGTTGGTGGGTTTTGCCATAATCTACTGAATAAAAATATTCGATTTATCAGAAGGTTTGCACTAAAAAAAGCTGGCATTGATATATTTGACTATGGAACTTCAGACTTCTGCAGAATTTCTATCAAAAATCCGGATTGATCCAGTAATTTCGGATTAATATTGGTTATTAATTTCAGAGTTAGTTCGGCTCTTCCGACACCCACGAGGAACAGGGGTGATAGTAACAAACTTGTATTTAACAAACTAGCTGTGCCCGCGAATTCGTCCGCGTGGAATTGTGATTCTCAGATCCTCCTCCGTAGGTGATAATATGTAACCTATATGTCGACCCGACCTGTTAGTAATATTCATACAAAATTTGAAGTAAATCCATTCAGTCCTTTTTAAGTTTAGCCCAGAAATACATACAGACAAACAGAAAAAGATTCTAAAAACCATATTTTTGGCTTCGGTATCGATTGTAGGTCAGGCCTCAAGCATTCTTTTAAGCAAATATTTAATTTACATTAGCTTTCAGTTTTCTACGATCTTACTATATGTATAGATAGATACATACCCATTATAACAGCCTCTTCAAGACACCCGTAGATGAATCCCAGCATGATGAGCTTAGATAACTTGACGTCTACGGGTAGTCTAGCCGCAACGCGACCCAAGTATGTTAGATCACCGTCCGTGGCGCACCATTCATCGTCCACCGTCTTCTTCATTGCTCCTATCTGGAATATATGGGAGTGAATATTTAAAATAATTTTAAAGTTCGAGTCAAAAAAATAACAACAATTAAAAAACATTGTACTATTGGTAAGTGGTAACCCGTGGTATGCTGGAACGCACATCTACGTAACACACAATGTGTTTTCTATTGAGTCTCATATTACCAGTAGATCAGAGGTTAACTCGTAAATGTCCAATTATGAAAAATCTACAACATTTTGTTCATACAAAAGTAGTCTCTAAACATCGGAAATAAGTTCTATGATGGTGAAAGTAGAGAGTGGTCACCGAATGACTGCTTGGATCTTGACTAGTTTTTTTTTAAAACATTGCCCCACACTAGGATTTTCTCCTATGTCGTGGGTGCGTTTACAAACATACAATATCACATACACATGACACCCAGACCCGGAACAATAATCTGTAGATCACACAAAGAGTTGTTCCGTGCGGGAATCGAACCCGCGACACGTTGCGCGGCAGCCAGTTGCCCAGCCACCGCGCCAACCGTGCAGTCGTTTAAACGTATCTGACGAAAAATGCAGTTAAACTGTCAAACACCAAGCGGTCACCGGTGACCGCACCCTATTGTTCTATAATTGTGTCTATAATGACGGTACTCAACGAGTTAAAACGTATCTGACGAAAAATGGGTGTTTTACATTGTTTAGGTGCAACTCGGGGTATAGTTTCAGGTACTAAAATGCTTAAAATTAACTAAGTATGATGAACTAAGTTACCTCTTTAAGAGAAAGTATGGTGCGCTGGATATTGCTGATGTCTGGCGGGTCCATGGCCAACGCCAGCACATCGCTCGGCGGCCCCATGTCCATCAGTTTGGCTAGTAACACCAATCTCTCTAAGGGACACCGGATTATCTCTGGTGTGCACTCCTGTTTTAATCCTTCCTGTAAAATTATTGAAAGAGTTATTTAAAAGAGAGAATTTAAACCTTATTGTTGTGATATAAACCCTAGTTTTGTTATTACATATTTCGTTACTTGTTATGTTTTTCGGCTTGCTCACGTAATTACTACTAGTCGAGTTCCTCGTCAAATAATTACGTGAGTATGAAAAAAAATTGTAACATTTAATTTAGTATATCTCGCGAAAGTTATAAATATAAATTACACATTTTGTTTGTATAAGTCAAAGAAAATTGTAATTGATTAAGTAGGTACAATTTCGAAATTTTAAGAATTTGATGTCTACGAGAAATTTGTTTGTCAGCAAATAGGCTCGGCCCTCTAATACGTGGACATCTTTAAAGATTTTGGGCACTAAAGCCGTGACCTTAATAGAATAAAAATAAATATTAATATTTAAAAACCAGTACTTACATAGAACTTATCAGTAACAAGTCTATAAACACGTCCATCGCGCACTCGACCGGCACGGCCCGATCGTTGCTCGCAGTTGGTCTTCGACGCCCAGGCGAGGCGTAATGACGTAAAACTTGTCTCCGGGTCAGCGACCATCACTTTCATTAGGCAGTAATCGATCACTGTTGGACAAATTAATAAAGAAATCGGCTTATGAGCTTATTTGTATGCAGTATTCAATATAATTTTTTGATTTTTCAAAAAACGTGACTTCACAATATACAATCTCGTACAAAGTTCATAGAAAACTGTCGTTTTTGACAGTACGAAAAAATATTAAATTTGAAAGCAAGTACCCAATTATAAATTATAAGCCCAGGTTTCCTGGCGATGTTTTCCTTCACCGTTTGTCAGTGGTGTCTAAATAATCTAAGATTATTCGGAGATAATAATCTAAGATTACTTAGAACAATTAATATTGGCTATAAAAAAGAAAATGTAATTTAATGACAATAGCACGGACACGAGTCTGTGGAGAATGAAAAACTATGTTTTTATAATAACTATCGTGAGACATACTAAATTAAGTAAAAACGCGGGTTACTCACGTGAGTATACTGAGAAAAGCTCTACTAGTTTCGGACCACAGAGGGGTTCTTCCTCATGAGCAGCGTGCGCGGTCGCGGCGACGTCGCGCAGCTCACGCTCAGTGAGCGTTTTTACTTAATGAAAAACTATGTAAAACAGAATATGCTTACCATACTTTATATCAGGTACAGTGATAGAGCTCTCAGCGATGTTGGTGGCGAGTATGACCTTCCTGTGTCCTTTCTGCACTCGTTGGAACACGCGAGCTTGTTCTTCCGACGTGATAGTGGAGTGTAGGGGCAACACGTACCATCTGTACGTACGGCACTCTCTATCGCAAATTTTTTCTCTGCAATTAAAAAAAATAAATAACTAAAAGGTACCTCACCTATTATTAGTTGACATGATAAATGTAGGTACTATTTATTTGATCTTTTTAAATACAATCAATCTATGCGACGTAACCAATATAATATTAATATAATTTTAAAAGTATACAAGTGCGACTGCCGGGCAAGGGGTGCGAGCAAAGTATTACTGGATTAAAAAAAAAACCAGTAGTAACACGGAGTCTGGAATTGTGTCCGGTATATAGCAAAAGGCTCACTCCCTATTACATGAGACTCATAACATAAATAGTGAAAAGTGGGTGTTACATTGAACAGTGGCATTAAGTGCCAAAATGTGCACCTCTGCCTACCCCTTCGGGGATAAAAAGCGTAATGTATATTTTTAAAAGTATAATAGCCATAACCCACAACAGCTAGGCTATTCAGTAACTTTTAATTCCAAACATCGAAGTATAACCTCGATCTCGGTCCGTAATATTATTGCTTGTGAGAATAACCTCGACTTATGACGGGCGTGTTCCTGACGTCACATCGGGCTCACCAACATACGTGGCCCACGACCGCTACGATCGGCGGTCATTCATTCACTCACTCGCTTGCCCGACACGACGCTGTGCACATATCGGTTGACCCTTACAATCAGTACCTATTTAAATACAGTCTTTTCTCATCATAGCGAAGTCTTTTATAATTCAAGACCACCAGCAACACACCTGAAACTTGATATTCAAACAGGCGAGAGTGGATCTAGTTTCGAATTGAAACTTTCAGAATCGCCTAGCTGAAGTAGATGGCGACACCAACGACAACAGTTCGCTATCGCATGCATGCCAATGCATACCTACAAGGAATGTTCTTAATACTAACCGTAAATCAAGGTCCGTGAGACAAGCGTACAGGTCCTCAATCTCATGGATACCAGGCAGGAAGATGAGGACAGATGAAAGCTCTGCATCATCACGATCTGTTATTTGGTCCTCGTGCTTGTCTATGTGCTCGAATGCGTTCAAAAGTTTTAGGACAAGATGGTGCATCTCCGGAACTATGGTTGGCTCATCAGTTTTTGGCATTGATTGGTGAAGAATCTAAAAGTAGAGGGAGAATAGAACATAATAAACTATTGTACATATTAACACCAGGTACTATTATATCCAATACTAGCTACTTCCGAGCGGTTTCACCCGCTCTACTCGGCTCCTATTGATTGTAGCGCGATGTTTTATAGCCTATGCCTTCCTCGATAAATGGACTATCCAACACAAAAATAATTTTTCAAATCGGTCCAGAAGTTCCCAAGATTAGCGCGTTCAAACCAACAGACAAACCTTTTCTGCTTCGTTAGCCGAGTGGTCGCAAGTGCGATTGCCAGGCAAGGGATCTCGGATTCGATTCCCGGGTCGGGCAATGGTACATGGCAATAGGCTCACTCCCTATTACAAGGGACTCATAACAAAAACAGTGGAAAGTGGGTGTTACATTGTACAATGCGGGCAATGTGCACCTCTGGCTTTCCCTTCACAAGATGTTACGTAAGTTTGTATTTGGTTATTGAAAAAAACCTAACAGTTTCACCCCCTACTAAATAGGATTAAATAATATTATTTTATGTAGTGTGTTTTTGTAATGCACTATACTAAACTTACCGATCCAAATTTCGTCAAATGATTCAAGTAGAACTCTTTAACAGTGAACATTTGTTCTTGTTTCTCGATTTTGATGCAGGATGACATCTGTAGGCCTCGAGGGGTGGGGATCATGAAGTAGTCAGCGAAGGCCTGCTTGTTAAACGTGGCTGACATTAACACTACTTTGACTCCTGGCGACACAGTGTATAGTAGTCTCTTCACGATCAGTAAGAGGAAGTCCATCTCTTGTCCCCTTTCGTGGACTTCATCTAGTATCACATGTGTGTATTCGTTCATTGTTTTTGCAGCAACTGAAAAAAATATAGAAGAAATTTACTATTAGACGACGATCTAAATAACAATTCGATTTTATTTGATTTTCAGTGTTTGGTTACAGGCTATTTCCCATTTTTAATTTATTTTAAATGAATAAATTTTTTTAGAATTTTAAATGGAATAAATAAAAATATCTAGTAAAATGTTTACTGGAAATATGTCTTTGCATATCCCAGTGGAGAAATACAGAAAAGATTTTTGAAATATGACTGAGCAAACATGTATTCAAGGGCACTACAAGATTGAATAAAATATTGTACCATTATCATAAACAAACACTAACCTAGCTTTTGCAACAATACACCGGTGGTGACGTAAGAAATGCGTGTGTCAGTAGAAGTACGAGAATCCAGTCCAACCTGTGAAGAAAACAACGATAAAAATTTGTTCCATTCTACATTTGTCAACTAAAACAAAAAATAAGGGTCATTTTACCTGATAACCAACAATACCGCCAACATCCCAACCTCTTTCTTGTGCAACTCTTTTTGCAATAGATATGGCTGCAATCCTCCTTGGTTGGGTAACCACTATTCTACATGGACGTCGGGCCTGGTAGCAGTCATCGAGGATCCATTGTGGGACCTGGGTGGTTTTACCACACCCAGTTGGACCTTCCACTATGACTACTGGAAAACCATGGATGCGATCCAGAATCTGGAACGAAAGAATTGTTTTTATAAGGTGGCAACCAAGCTGATAAAGCTAAAGCTGAGTCCATAAACCTAAGTTATCTGGCTTCTATTTGTTCATTGCTGTTGGATGTTTGTGACATTCAATTGCCATGTTTTATAAAAATAATTATATCAATCTAAACAATCTTTGTTGTACATTTGATTTTTACATTCTGCTGTAATGTCCCAGTAGTATATATTTATGCAGTTACTATTACTATTGTCGATATGTCACAAGACAAGATAATAAAATTGAATGCCTGAAAATGTAACTTAGATCTTATTTGACAATATTTATAGGTAAGAAAGTGCACTATGGGTTCATCTCTGGGATTCCCCAACAAGCATTTAACCTATTGCCTGCCGGTATATGAGACACAATAATAAATACATTATATCTCACATCTTATTACTTTTTTTATAAAGCTGAACAATTAGGTTAGTTTATTTGTTTGAACACGCTAATCTCTGGAACTACTGGCCCAATAATAATAGTTAGAGAAGCTGAGAATTTGAAAAAGTGTGGGATAGCCATGTTTCGGCACAAATGGGCCGGCTCGACCGGTGTGATACCACGGCCTCACAGAAAACCGACGTGAAACAACGTTTGCGTTGTGTTTGGTCATGTGAGTGAGGTAACCGGAGACCAATTGGGCCACCGGTTACCCCCGCTCTGCAGTCTCCCGGATCCCCGAATCCGCCACAATCCTCAAATTCCCAATTCCCAAAAGGCCAGTAACGCACTTGTAACGCCTTAGTGTTTCAGGTGTCCATGGGTAACGTCGATTGCTTACCATCAGGTGATACGTCAGCTTGTTTAAGTACAAGTTTAAGTATATTTAGAAGAAGCAAAAATACAACCATAGCTTGACACCTGGGAAACAACATTTGAATTGGGAAAGACGACTGATGACATTACGTTACAGCCGTAGTATATACCTTTGAAAAGACTAATTAAAAACTCAAATTCTAGCAGAAGTGCGAGAAGTTCGATTGCGCGGTTGGTGCAGTGGCTGGGCAACCGTAGCCATGCAGCGTGCCGCGGCGCAGGTTCGATTCAAGCACGGAACAACACTTTGTGTTGTCAAATGATTGTTTCGGATCTGGTTGGCATGTGTATGTGAATTTGTATGTTTGTAAATGCACCTACGACACAGGAAAGAATCCTAGTGTGGGGCAACTTCTTTATAAAAAGAAAAGTATTTATTGTACATGAACGAAGTCAAGGGCAATAGTTAGTAACTAGGTCTAAGTCAGAAGGTACTAATTTTTAAAGGGGTTAAGGGGCTTACCTGCTGCTTGTGTGCATTGATAGCCAAATTATGAGTGTCCTCTTTCATTTGGAAGGAATACTTGTTGTATACTTCTGTCATAGCTTCATCATTGAGCTCGTCTATGTTGGGCACAGAGACTCCAAAAGACAAGTGCTCCATAGATTCTAGACCGCCTGCCACACTTGTGCTGGCAGCTTTTTCACGATTCAATTCATTCTAGAACAATAATTATATTTTACATATGCAAGTACTTTGTCAATAATATTAAGTACCTGGATGACCGTGCTTTGCTCACTGTTTCTTTTTAGTTTACAACATTTTCTTAAAATGAAACCTAGCTAAATCTATTTATCACCCCCAAAACCCAATACCTACATACAAAATTTCAAGAAAATCATTGGAGCGTCCGAGAATGTTGATACATAATATATACAAGAATTCCTTGTTTAAAGATATGAAATTAATTATGAACATAAATATAAGTTACATGTATTATGTTGTATTACTTAATAAAGATTAATGTTTGTAAATATCTAATTGTAATAGTTTTTCAATTAGTTACTGGCACTGAATATAGGTAGTAAATAATAATACTTAAAATAGTTATCACCAAGTTCAAAACAGACATAGCTTGGATTTGTCTTGTAAAGTGCTAGATGATAACCCCATATCATAAAAATATGTATCTCTAGGTACTCTAAGGACGCTAATTGAGCAAACACATTACCTATTTTTCAGAAAAATCATACTTACCCGCAAATATAACTCAGTTTCCCTTTCCTTGACTTCGCGGGCATAATCGGTACCGACATCAGTCAATGCTGAATGCCGATGTTCCATTTTTCTGCCAAAAATCTTATCGTCATCCTCTTCAGTAAGGATTCGAGCACCTCCAGTAAGGGGACCTCTGAGTTTAATCCTTTGCGTTGGATTCATAAAAAATGCTCGAACTTCATCCATTTTAAAAGGTCTAACGTAGAAATCGAATAAGTACCTACTATTATAGACGATTGAATAAAAACTGAAAGTGAAGTCCTTAGTGTATTTAATTGCTGTGTTTATACAATCTGAAACCTTAGCTCAACAAAAATATTGAAGTTCTAGGAAATCAGATATTTCAGCTTGAACACAACTTGAGCATTGTGTGTTTTTTCACAATTTGACAATGACATAATGCTTATTGGATAGAAGTGACAGGAAAAGCAAATAACAAAACTTTGAATTTAGTTTTACTTGTTGTACATATTTATTTATTTCTTTTATTATATATCATGTAAATAAGTACTAAAAATAAATTTATTATTAATTTTCGACGAGGAAATCTGATAATTCAGGTCGTTGACAATAAGTTGATGAGTTTTTCGTTCAGAAATTAGCAGTTAGCTTAACAGAGGTCGTAACAAAAATATTTACAACCCCGCCCCGATCAGAGATGGAATAAAGTTGAATATAGACCGCACTAGGCAAGCACACATACCCTATAGGCCACAGCTATAGGCGCCCCTAAGTGTTTTTGGCACCGGTGCTAGTGCTACTTTACGGCCATTTGTACTCGTAAACTTAGTGCCCTAGGCACTTGCCGATCTCAAAGAGCCATCGGACCACCACGGCTGGGACCTAATAGGGCTGATGCCGATACGGACCCGCGGAGGACTTAACGGGTTGCCGGGGCTCCGGCTCGAAGGACAGGAGTAAGGACGGGGTGGTTTTTAGTCAATAAGAGTCTGACACTCACTTTCGCCTCACCTGGCGGGAGAAAACATTCGATGATTTTACCGCCTTAAAAACTTGCCTATAGATTTGTCTTAGGGATAATACAGCTCTGACGCAGACTCGAACCCGTATTGATCTCGTTGACCAAATTATCAGTAAAGTAATACCTGTATTAATACAATTGGTACTGTACTAATTGGTACTGCATGGAACACATTACAGAAATATTATTTCATTTTTTAGTAAGATAGGAAATAAGAAACATAAGGACAGAACAAAAACAAATATACTTCTTTAAATATTATTTATTTCATACCATATTTGGCATAACAAAAATATTCAGATCATTTATAGAAGATATTTAACAACTGATAACCTCATAATTACACAATTATTAATAATACTCATATTATGCATATTGATTTATATAATGATCGTGAATACAGACAGGCATCCCTATATAATTATAGTAGACACAAAAGATTTGACCAAGTAATACAATAGTTATAAATGAAGTGCACTATTCGACTAGAAGATACAAAATTACTTTTGTAATCACTAACATTCAAAATATGAATATGAACTGGGTGTTAACGCCTTTACCTCTATGATGTCAAAGAGGGCTTTGGCACAACCACAGATACATAATGATAGTGGATTTACATGGATCAATAAGGGTTGTAATACAATTAATATCGTAACGAACCCAAAGGCGAATTTAATATTTTTAACCTTGTTATTTAAACATATTAATCTCTCTTGTATTGTCGTGAGGCATACTAATAAGGTTACACAGCTTACCTACGTAACTTTTCGACGAGGTAACTTGACCAGTTTTATACTGTTTACGATTATGTGCCTTTGACTTGGCTCGAAACTTGTAGAGCAACCTCGAAAGGTTACGTGATTAAGCTCAATTAACCTAATTATTAAGTGATTTAATATAAAAAATACAAGAAATTTTGAAAGTCATATGACGCCATTGGTATATTTATCAATCCAATGTAAGCCCACCAATAAACATACACAGATATACATATAACAAAGCAACATATTCAGTTACAATTATTAATGGAAAAATAATTTAAATATTACAATTTCTTATTTACACTACGGGCCATTCACTACTTGAGATGGACTTTTGGATATTTTTGACATTATAGATACATTTGTTATATGCGATCCAATTGGGTTATCTTTTTTTATATACATGGTATTGTCATGTTTCATTCAATCATAATAATATGATAAGCATGATACTAGATCTTCTACTTTTAACAAGCAATAGATATTTCTTTTACATTTTAATATAACCTTTATACTGATATTTTTATAACAATTACTTATAGGATAATTTTAGAATGATTTTTTTTCTAACATGTGTTTAGTAAACTGATTGTACTCCTTTCTATCCCGATACGGAGTCGCGGAGAACCTAACGGGTTACCGGAGCTCCGGCTCGAAGTGCAGGAGTAGGAACGGGGTGGTTTTTAAAGAGTCTGACACTCCCTCCCGCCTCACCCAGGCAGGAGCAGTCATTCGATGATTCTCACCCCTTAAAAAAAACTCCTTTCTATAATAATTTGGTTTTGATATAATTTTAAGCCATCACATTGTATTCATTTGTGATATGTGCGAACAGAGTGTAAAGAACTTTCAAGAATCAATTAGACGATTACCTATATGAGAGACAAATAGAGGATCAATGTTTTATAGACAGATACAGTTTTAATTTGTTTATATTAAAACTTGCATGACTAAATTAATTATTATGTTTTCGGCTTACTAACTTCACTGTTTGACGAGGAACTTGACTAGTTTCAAGCCATGCTAGAGTTTCATTTTCATAAGCAGCATTACGCGACACGGCGATTGTCGCGCTGCTAGTAATACACTGCTACTGCGTAAGTAAAGTAAGCCGAAAATATAATAATTAATTCAGTTTTAATTTACTTTTTATTCACGGTAATCATAGATGAATAATATTGTAGGGGGGCATTTCGATTTAAGTAAAATTTACTACAAAAACATGTAACAAAATTATTTATTCGCATATTAGATTGTTGCTAAGATTTATGTGGAGCATGTTCAACTTTAAGATTAGAATTCCGTTATAGGGCAGCTTTTTCTATGGAAAGATAGATTCGTATTATTCTATAGAGTTTCATTACTTATGACTGAAATTGATGAACTGATCAAATTCTAAATCGAATTCTTCAAGGATTTATCTTTGAATTGATGTGGACGTTTAATATTAGTTCGATTAATTTTATGATTAAAATCGGTTATTTTTTAAACTTTTTGACTGAACAACAGAGACAACAAAAGCCAAAATATGCTGGGTAAGACATTTTCTTTGGTTCATTTGTGATTGTGTTATATTGACTAGGCGATTCTGTCTTTACAACGATAGGATAGTATACCTAAAGATATGTTGTATTACGTGTTAAATTCATTATTAAATGATCTCTTCGTCAAATGGCAACTTTTCGAAAAAGGAGCTCAGAGGCCATAGTACGATGTTGTTTTACGTTAAAAGTAATCGAAACAAGACTGCCTTCGGAGCTCCGATTGGTTAGTTCATTAGAACCGGCCAATTACAGCGCCGAACGCGTACTCGTTTCGATTAATTTAAACGTGAAATAAACTTGTACTAAGGCCTCCGTATTTACTGGTTTTAGAGTTACAAATCTAGGTAGCATGTATCACATGTAGAATATTTGGAAGCGATATTGGAACATTACGTAGGTAACGTTAAACCCAAGGATACACTAGGGTACAAACGTCCTGCGACACGTGTCGCCAGCGACGTCGGGTAAAGTAGCGCGACGTTTCCGAACTTTCGTATACATGTCTGGGAACATCAACGTCACTGTGGACATAAGTTGCGCGTTGTCACCGTGTATGTCAGGCGACATCGTCTGGCTTCGCTCGAAACGCCGACACATGTCTTTGGACATTGGTAACCTAGTGTGTCCTTAGCTTTATTTAAAAAAAGACGCCACACAAGACAGCTGTTGCTTAACTGCTGTTGCCTTAAAAACGACAGAAATAAAAAAAAATAACAATAAATTTTGTGCGATACAATAAAATATCTCAAACAATCTGCTTTACAGATTGATAATTAAATTTTAAATTGTTACTAATATTAATTACTAAACCACATCCGTTTGAATTTTGATTAATGTTATTAGAAGACCAAAATTAATATAAAACTAGAATATAAGAAATTCCGTATGATGTTACTTGTATTTAAAGAAAAGTTTAGAGTGAGACGCTATACATGCATGTCTCAGGAATAGTTATCTAATACCTCATCGCCCATTGGTTAGTTAATAAGGTTATATGTCACCGACAACCGTTGCAATTAATTATAACAGGACGAAAATAAAATAAACGTTAACCTTTTGACCGCCTGTATCACGTAACTACGACCGCAAATCAAAATACAGTCACCATGGTAACCAGTAAATAAGAAAATTTTGCTCGTTTTCACCAACTCCTAAGCTAAGATAGGTGACATTTTACTAGTTAGTACGTCATGCTAAGTATCTTTTAGTTAGCAGATGGTTTATTATTTAGTTTCATTATCGCTTTAATGACCTTGAATTTTGTACCATGATAATATCATTAATATCATATATGGTTGACAAAACATAATAATTATATAACCTTATCTACATGAATTCGAAGTGTGACATTGGAGGGAATGCTTTGGAATTACACATGGCGGTCAAAAGGTTATGTACAGCCCGCGACAAAATGTTAGTCACTCCGAAGTAGGTTTGTATGTATATTGTAGTAACCGACTCTCCCTCGCTGCTTTCAGAGCGACCATGAAGTTTGGAGGACCTGCAACCACTGCAAAGACGGACAGATTAGAATATGATCATAATAATATGATGAACAATCAAAATGAATAAATAATTTGGATCAAAAAACTGAGATCGATGCAGAAAAAATCGACAGTAATTAACGCACACACACCAAATACACCAAACTGTGAATAATTTAACGACTCTTTTAAAAAACTTTCAATAGGGTAGAAGACTAATTTTTATTTTAATGTCCGTCTGGTAGATTATTTTGAATCATTAGACACGATTTTTTTTGTATTCTTACAGAAACGAATACTTTCGACGATATATTGATTTGAAATGTCGCGTGACGTCACTTCTATGTAGGTACATTTTATACATATAGAAATGACGTTTTAGCCCCCACTCCTAAATTTTGATTCGTTTTATCTAAGTATTGTTAAAAAAATACGTGTCTAATATTTTTTCATTACTTAACTGACGGACTAATTGCATTTTAAATTTTCATACCCTGTCATCATCCCAATTGTTTCCCGTTCGGACAAACAAAAAAATTCATAATCTGACTCCAAAATCATAACTATACAGTCCCTTTTTCTTTGATTTTACATCAGTATTAATATGGACAAGTACCTGAAGTCTTAGTACTTAGTTCTCCTTCGAAGGTTGGATGGACCAGCCGAGTATACGTCGGTCGAAGCCGCAGCTGAAGAAGTTTATGTTGGACGATATGTCATCCGCCCAGGCCACTGACGTCACCATGCGACGGTGACCCTGCAATCATATTGGTTGTTGATTATATTTCCAGTTTTTTTTTCAATCGAAAATGAACAGACGTATCACTTGATCTCATGGACACCCTTAGTGCATGCAGGACTTGGATATTGTTGGATGAGAACAGACTTTAAATGACTTTTATTACGTGAATTATTAAAGGACAAAATACTTCATCCTAATTATCATCATAATCAAGAAACTGTGACACCTTTTCAAAGAGGGTTGGATACCTGAAATCGCTGATCAGTCTGCTGCCTGCCTCTGTTAAATATGTAAATCCAATACCCATGGGAATAGTGTTAATCGTAATAAGGAATCATAAAAAATGTTTAATAATTATTGTTATTACCTGACGGCTAGATCGAGGCAGTCTAGCGAGTCTCTGCCCCTGCAGGTCGAAGAGTCGGACCTGTCGGTTGTCGTGTGGGATCGCGATCAGTCCATTGCCACTCACACCAACACGGTTCACTGAGGAATCAGATCTGATCGTGGCAAGAGCTGAACGCATGTTACGGACGTCCCAAACCTAACAGGAATAAAAAAGACATCATACAAATATACAGTACTGTTTGAGAACATTACATGTAGTGCTACAATACAATAAACTAGTAAAGTAGTCTTAATTTATTGTTACTTCTAATAAACATCTTTCATTACCTTAACGGAACGGTCATCAGATCCAGAAACGACTTTGTCTTCTCGTGTGAACACAGCCGATGTGACGCTCCTGTAAAATAAAAAATGATTGTAGTCATTAAAATCTTTGCCTATTACATGAGACTCATAATATAAATAGTTAAAAGTGGGTGTTACATTGTACAGTGGCATTAAGTGCCGTAATATGCACCTCTGCCTACCCCTTTGGGGAAGAAAGGCGTGATGTTATGTTATAAAATCTTTGCCATATACCGTAAGCAGGATAGGGCAGGAATAGGAATGGATTGTTGTAGCCATTTGAAAACTTTCCATCTTTACAAGAAGAAGAGTGGATTGATGATCAGTGTCGTGGAGTTTACATAGTTCTTTTAACTTACTCAGTGTGTCCTTGGAAGACGGAGACGGAGTGTATCGGCTCACGGAAGTCCCAGAGACGGAACGTTGTGTCGCGGGACGCTGTCACCACCAGCCGGGACGCGTGGTGCGCAGACGCATGCGTCAGCTCGTGATCGTGACCTAAATTATAATATTGTGTAGGAATACTTGCTTATATTTACCTAATATAAAAAGTATGAATGCGTGTTCATGTATTTGGAGATAATTAGAAGGCTGCAGAGTTAAACAATTTAACCTACTTTTTTTGTTTGACCACATGGTCACAATACTAGTTTTTAATCTTCTTTTGATTTAATACTACACATGTCATTGTACCTTATCCTCACAAAGCCATAGTTTCATCAAACCTGTAAGAACTTGCAGGCAGTCCCCAGTTTCGACATCATATAGGTTAGCGGTCCTATCCCAGGAGGCGGTGATGACGTGATCGCCGCCGGTCAGCCAATCAGCGGCGACAACGACACCTTGGTGGCCGCCCAACTCCGTGAGAGGAGTGCGCAGTACTTCTGGCCTATCTCCTCCTTCGCCCAGACTTTCTTCGCCGCCTCCTTCTAACTCTTCCTCAGAGGACTGGCCGCGCTAAAACAAGGTTTTATTCATTGTTATTTTACTTCTTAGTGCCTCGTCGATAGGTCGCTAGTGCTGACTGCAGTGCAAGAGATTTCGATTTTTCGAAAGGTACCGAAATTATGACAATCAACTCTTAAAGAAGTATTTGTACACCTAACATAAAAGCGCATGTGCTAGCTTAGACGTTGATAATAAGTGAAATGATATTAATTTTTGTAATAACTAACATAACATAACATCACGACTTTTATAGCCGAAGGAGTAGGCAGAGGTGTATATTACGACGCTTACTGTACAATACACTGTACAATGTAACACCCACTTTTCACTATTTATGTTATGAGTCCCATGTAATAGAGGGTAAGCCTATTGTCATATACCGGACACAATTCCAGACTCCGTGCTACTACTGAGATTTTTTGAAAAAGCCCAGTAATGCTTTGCCCGACCCGGGAATCGGACACTAGACCACTTGCCCGGCAGTCGTATTTGCGACCATTCGGCCAACGAGGCAGTCAATGTAAATACTCTACAAAATAAACGAGAATGAAGAATTAGACAGAGACTTCTAACAGACTGTTCTGAAATTCTGGAAACAAACTGTCAGAGTCTCTTTCAAAGTTCAGTAAAAGTAATGAGTTTACTAACCGGTAGGTCCCAATTGACGGCGGCCTGCCACACGTGAGCAGTATTGTCTCCGCTGCTTGTGAGAGCAATGTCCCTGCTTGGGTGAAAACGGATCGAGTTGACAGAGCCTGTGTGCCCTGTGTACTGCAGGAGACATTTACCCCATTCCACGCTCCATACGCAAGCTGTGTGATCTGTAATGAAAAATATACATAAAAATAAATAAAAAAATTAAAAAAATAAAAACAGCGGACATTAGAAAGAAGTGTTAAATGCAAATAAACATTCTTATTCTTACATTTATAAGCAACATGTTTTTAATTTATATACTAAAATACTCAACTGAACAGCCGATAACATTTATTCTCTTGCATAAAAATTAAGACCTAATATAACTTAGCATAATTATGCTAAGTTTGGCATACATTTGATTCGCATACCGTTTGTAGCATGATAATAAATTAGTCTTTAAAATGATTATGCCAACATAAAATGTATACCTAAAAAATTATCATTAACAGCCGATAAATGCTGAGCAAAGCCTCTTCTCACACGGAGAAGGTTTGAGCATTATCACCACGATTGCTCAATGCGGGTTGGCGATTTCAAACTTATAATTAGAAATTATAAGCCCAGGTTTCCTTACGATGTTTTCCTTCACCGTTTGTCAGTGGCGTCTGAATCAGGGACTGAAAGCGGTTAAGGTATAACGGTACGGTACCGGTATAAAATAAGTGTACCGAAATTAAAGCTATACCGGTATTTAACCTTTATGCGATAACGGTACCGAAAAACTTAGATTTGACCGTTGCGAGACGTAAAGCTAGGAGTGTGCGGGGTGTGGTGCGAGGGGCCCCACTCCGAGGCGTGGAGCAGCGGCAAGCGAAAAACGCGCGCCTGTGTACCTGTTTATTCGTGTCACTGCTGCAACTAAACTACGCTACCGTTGTATGATTTGTGTGTACCGTACCTATCTAATAACTATATAATAGTCGTGTAACTATTAACTATGAGGCGGAAACGTAAAAATGCAGTATATGGATTGAGATATAAGTACTAATGAGTACATGCGTTTTTTTCATTTTCCAAGGAAAGTAATGTTTCTACATATTTAGTAACTGGATGCTTAGCTATAATAAAATAAGTATTGTACCCATTCATTGTAAACTTTGACCGGTCAGTGAGTATAGATGCAATATAGGTACTACTTATACAACCTATACCCTAAATGTAATTGGTAGGTATGTACATAATTATCTATCTTGTAGCTATAAGATACCTAACTATAACATTTATCTTATTATTCGGTACGTACCTATCTAAACTTTCGGATATCCTAGGTAGGTGTGTACCTAAGAACATCGTAATGTTTGTTTACTTATATTACATACCTACATAAAACCAGTCATTGGGTATCGTTCGTTAGGGTAGGTACTTACCTAAACTTTGATTATTTACTAGGTATATATAATATTATGTTCATAAGATGAATAGGATTAGGTACCTACCTTGGAATTTTAACTACAATTATTATATAATACAAATTATACAAGCCCAAACACAAGGTAGTTACTATAAACCGTTGATGAGTTCCCTTAACAATTACAGTTCTTCATCATCAGACCCTCAATGATAGTCCTACTCCATCTAGGTGTAAAGTTCTCATCAATACAAATCAATCAAGCCCAAACACAAGGTAGTTAATATAAACCGTTGAGGAGTTCCTTTGACTGTCTGTCGGCTCCATCATCAGGTCGACTCCAGACCCTTTTCAAATTGTACATACATACTTACATAACTTCACGCCTGTCTCCCACGGTGGGTTTTTTCATCACCTATCATTACCTGACATTCTGTTATCACCTCATTTCTTTCTATCACCAACACTTTCGTCTTGTTCACATTTACTTTCATACCTTTCCTTTCAAATGCATCATTCATAGCAGTGATCATTTGTTGTAATTCTTGGGCCGACGAGGCAACAAGCACTGGTCGTCGGCATACAACAATGTTTTAATCACTGTGTCATTCATCCTTAATCCAGACTCTCCTACTTTCAGGTCGTTCAAACAGCTGTCCATAAATAGGTTGAACAGCCAAAGAGATGCTACACAGCCTTGCCTAACAACTCGATTAATTTTAAACCACTCTGTGTAGTCCCCATTTATTCAGACAACGGCACTCGAGTCCTTATATAAGGATTTAAGTACCCGAATCAGGTGGCTATCCACCCCATACATGGACAGAGTTGACCACAATTCATCCCTCACCACTCTGTCATAAGCCTTTTCTAGGTCTATAAAGGCACAAAATACCTTTTGGTGCTTTGATAACACTTTCTCTGAAATGAACCGTAACGAAAAGACTTGATCCGTACATTTCTTGATCCCATTCCCTTTCGAAATCCCGCTTGCACATCCCAGATTTTACGCTCAGTTACATCCATCACTCTTTCGATCAATACCTTGGCATACAACTTTCCTACTACGCTTAGGAGGCTTATACCGCGATAATTTTTGCACTCCTGCTGTGATCCTTTTCCTTTATACAGTGGCACAATTACGGCCTTGGCCCAGACTCCAGGGACACGACCGCACCGCCAATACTTATTAAAAATTAGATACACCAGGCTTGCAATTACACCTCCACCCTCTGTTAGCATTTCAGTAGTTATCCTATCACATCCCGCTGCTTTACCTACTTTCAAACTCTTAATGGCACTCACAATTTCATCCATATTTATTTCTCCCACATTAGCACTTTCATTTTCATCGTTTACTTCCTCTTCTTTCAAATCACTCCTTTCAAATAAATTCTCGAAGTATTCCTTCCACTGCTTTAAAACATCCTTACTTTCTTCAATGACACTCATTTATATCCCTTATCGTACTTACTTTCGAGTCCCCCACTTTGCCTCTGGCCTTTCTAACTAAATGCCAGAATAGTTTAGCGTTGGCTCGAAAGTTCCGCGAAAAATTCCTTTCAAACTTTTCCTTGCATTCATTTTTCTTCTTGTTAACTACCGCTTTTGCTCTCTTTTTGAGACTAATGTACTTTTCTATCATACTTTCTAGCACTCTTCTATTTGCCTTTGAGGCTAATAAGTCGAGCCATGCTTTCTTCTTTTGCTCTATCACCTCTTTTACTTCATCATCCCACCATTCATTCCTCTTGCTTCCAGTGTTATTTTTCTTGCTTACCCCACATACTTGAGTAGCTACTGCGATCACTCCATCCTTAAATTCCTTCCAAAATTCTTCTATATTCCTTTCGTAACCTTTCATTAGCTCCCTAAACCTTTCATTTAATAGTTTCCTGTACTGGTCCCTAGCTGCCTCTTCTCTCAACCGTTCAACTCTCACTCTCTCGGTTCCAAGCAACCTTACCCGTGGCCGATGTCTCCACTTCATTGCCAGTCCAGCTATTCTAGTAATTACTAGGAAGTGGTCGCTTCCGACATTCGTGCCACGGTAAACCCTTGTATCCTTCAGTTTTGTCCTCAGGCGTTCATCAACAATCACAAAATCAATCGTACTTCTTTCTGTATGCCTCTGCCATGTATACATATGTATCTTCTTGTGACCAAATGTTGTGTTGGTCACAAAAAGTTCCTTTTCTACACATATATCCAGAAGACATACACCATTCTCGTTCACTCGTTCGTCTCCAAATCGCCCTAATACTCTATCGTACCCATCGCGTGCCACTCCAACCCATCCATTAAAATCTCCAAGCATAATTATTCTTTCATTCTCTTTACATTCATTAAGAACATCTCTCAAGTTATCCCAGAATACTTCCCTCACCCCAATTGGCTTTGAGATGTCCGGGGCATAAGCACAGACGACAAATAATTTGGTCAAGCCAATTTTAAGGCGGATCTAAAGTATCCTGGGACTCACACATTTATACTCTTTCACACATTCATTCATCCTTTCAGATAGTATGACCCCCACGCCCTGGCTGCCTCTCTGGGAACTTGCAACACCAGACCAGTAAGCAATATATTGGCCATGTGTGGTAGTCATACAACCCTTTCTTTTCGTCTCGCTCATCCCTAACAAATCAATCTTTCTTGTATTCATCATCTCACATATTTCTAACATCTTGCCTTCTACGCCTCCACACACATTCAGTGTAGCAAAAAGGCAATCCTCAGCCCGCTTTCTGCCTACTCACGGGGAGACAAAACGTGACGTGTGGCAGAGCACGTCGCCGTTGGGAATTTGCCAAGATACGACGGGGCTGCCTGAGCAATCATGCTCAGGGAGGGATTCTCCAGCGGAGCTGGTACCCTCCTGGGGTAGAGTTTAAAAATCCTAATTGAATAACAATACACATATTACACGCCCCTACAATTTTCGAAAGTTCTCCTCGGTTTTCCTAGGCTTCTATTATCAGATCCTGACCTCAATGAAAAGGACCATCTCGGGAGTATACCCTTTGAATCAAAACAAGAATTCTGGAAATCCGCGCCCGACGAGGTAGAAATAAAAAAACTTTAGGCATTTAACCAATTTTTGACAAAAATGTCGTGAAAATATATACCTATAAGGTAAAAAAAATATTATAACACACTACGTTATAATAAACTATAGTAATGAGCTATAGTGTAATAACATAAAAAGTGTAATAAAATAGTACGCACGCAGCGTCTGTGTGTGAGCGTGTCTACTGGCGTTAGATCGCCGCCGCGTGCCGTACGCGTCGACAACGAGTAGGTAAGATACTAGTACTTAGTACTCGTTACGTGTCAACTAGAAGTATGTTATTATCAGATTACATAAGTAGTAATAAGTACATATACTTACTTATTTCTGTTATTATAAGTTTTCGTGCGTTATTTGACATTGTTAATAATTGTTATCTCAATTCAACTCAGCACACCATAAAATATTATAACGCGAGCGGCGAGCCGCATGTGATTGTGTCCAGAGAACAAGCCAAACTAATGCAATGCGATGAAATAGGATAGATGATCTAGCGCGGTCAATATCTCTCTCATACCTTTATTATTCAGGTTAGGATACTGGTACCGAAATATACCGGTTTTCATTTCATACCCAAAAATAGCGGTACCGAAATTAAATTTCGATACCGAAATTAAGCGGTAACCGTTATTTAACGGTATGACGTCATACCGCAATTTAAAGGTATCGTAATTTTTCGGTTATTCAGTCCCTGGTCTGAATAATCTTAGAAAGTACATATAACTCGGAAAAAGTCACATTGGTATTTGCCGTTGGTAGAGTTCGAACCAGCACCCTCATGTAGTGTAGTAGTACGTCATAGAACACCAGCCACCACGACGTTAAAAAAATTATGCTCAAGTATTATTATGCCAAAACAAATTGTGCCAAAAACGTTATACCGAAGTATATTAGGACAAAGAACATTATGCGAAAAGAAGGGATACCAAAATATTTACCTGCAGAAGCAGTGCCAATAAGAGCTTGTCCAGGACGAGCTGACGTCACATCCCAAATCCCATCTTTGTGTCCTGTAAACTCGCGCACTAACTGACAGTTGTATGATGGAGCCTTGAAGCTGGAGACTATCTTGCTGGTCTGCACCCGGAGTTTATGACTCGCTTTCACTTTCTGCGAGTTGCTTTGTGTTACTGTGAAGATTGGAAAACAGATAAATTATTATCTAAGGTGACTCTTACCTAGGTGTTACCATCCCTGTTTTTAGTCTCATTTCTCAGATCAATATGATGTTATTTATCATTCTTATAAAAAATTATGAGATTAAAATACATAAGACTAAATAGTCTAAGATTCCTTTGGGTGGTTTCTCTTTTTTGGCCTTATTTCTCAGTTCTGTATGCAATTTTAGGATTTTTATTATGTTCTTTAAAGAATTAGGCTGCATAAGATAAAGTGAATGATAGCACAAGTTCTTTTTTATCATCTGTAATCTGCCATTTGAGCCATAGTCAGATTGATTGGTAATATTAATAAGCATTTGTGGAAGTATTCCATCAAATACATCTCCTACTTCGAAAACTGTATCAGTTAGTATTTTTTATTCAGTTGCCAATATTTGCCAAACCTTCAGCCATGTCTCCCTTCCCTTTTGAAAAGGTCTCTTGACAGACCAGGCTTGAGTCACACACTAATGACCAGTTCATTAGTGTGTGACTCAAGCCTGGTCTTATATTTTTTTACTTAGTGTACTCCCTAACTTCCGCTCTATTAGTTGTTATATTTAAGTACTCATGTATCTCAACATTTCTTGAGAACCATGGGGCGCTGCTCATTATTGAAGTGCTGACAGCACAAGGAGAGACAAATTAAGTATGGTCTAATTTGTATACCTCGTGTGTTCATAAGTTTTGAGACAAACTTTTTGCTTATAAAAATAAAATAAAAATTACTGGCTGCTGTATATTTCTTTTTCTAATTTTGAATTTGGAATGTTAACTTTTAATATCCATGATTTCGGATTATTTTATTTAAATTTTCTCGTAATGGAGGGAACAAAAGAATTACGTGCGACCGTCATTTCATTATTTAAG